TTATAGTGAAGTTATAGGCTATAAATGTATTGAGAATTGATTACATATAAAACTAGTTTAATATGTTTTGTTGCCATTCAGTGATGAATTGGACATTTCAATGGGCTTTTAGTACAACTCCTGAAGAATGACCTCGATTTCAATTTTATAAATCTAGCCATTAATAGCCATTTGGTAATCCATTTGAGATTAATTTTTACAATTAATCTATGAATTAAGCCTATGATTGAAACCACATTTCACATATTAAACACAATAAATATATCGTAAAAAAGTTTTATGATTTAATCGATATTTTTAGAAATCAGATCACATTTAAAATTTCAATTTGAGATTAAAATCTAATCCAAAACTTTTATTATAAAATTAATTTACATTAAATGAAATCTAAATACAATACAATCAACTCAATAGTTGGTAAAACAGGGCAATTGACTAAAAACATAAATGTCTTGTAATATACGACAGGTATCTAAGAAGTGACGCTACCATTCATTTCTCATACTTTTCGGGCATTTTAAAGCCTAGCATATGTGCCGTTTGGTCGGCCGTGAGTTCGCCTTTGCTGTAAAACTGGTCATAGATTTGCCGATAATGTCGGCTACTATTCAAATACGAGTGATAAGTGTCGGCCATGTATTGCAACTCATGAGTCGGTCGACAGACCCGCTGGTCGGTGGTGTCGTGCCGTCTATATTGATCCACTATATAGACCATCATATCGTTGTTCTTCACGTTCACATTGTCCTAATCATTGACACCGAAATCGGGGGTAAAATTATTGTCCATTAGTATTGTAAATGAAATCAAATGGTTTTTCGCCACAAAAATTCATACCTTGTTTAAGGTCTTTCGCAATTCATGCGATATATTCCTCAGGAGTTTCAGCGATTCGGTGAATCTCACGACCGCTGAAGACATTACGGACTTGTGTTTAGGGCTTTTTGATTACAATTACTTTAATTATTATAATAGATTTTAATAACAAAACGATCGGTTTGTTTCACTTTCAACACATGGTTTGCATTGAAAACATTGCGATAGAAAAGTGTTTACTTTTTTCCCATACATTATATACCGAGACATCTGTTGTGATAATTGTGTGTAAATGTATCGCATATATGAATGGATCAGAATTTGTGACTTCTTTTTGTGGCGCAGAGGAGGAATAGGACGACATTCA